TTATTGAAAAATATCGCGAATTTTAGAAAATCAATGAGTTAAATTTTTGAATCCGCATCCTTTTGCTTCAATTTTTTTGTCGTGCGCCGTACCTCTCCATCAACGATATCAAAATACCGATAATTTTAGTAGAATTTTATTAAATTACAGAAATTTTGCCCAAAATTTATTGGAATCTTTAAGATACATATGTCTGTGAAATTTTATAACTATATGACGTCTGTAATAGTAAATAATAGCACAGTCCGCGTAATTTTTGAACGGCCCTCGTATATATTTCTGGGCCTATGTTTGTTGTAAATGATGCAATTTATACATTTTAAAGACGTACAACACACTGGGGGAGATAACTCTTGCGATTTCAATTGAACGTTTGACGTGACGTCAAATTTAACGTCAAAAATAAAGCGTCAAAACGACGAGTAAAACGATCCCGATGTATATCAATCATGAAAGAAAATTGGGATATGGGGCTTCGCTGTGATTGTGCGTACCATACTCAATCAATAAGTATTTTTTAATAAACCCGATTAAACTCCGTAAAAAGCAAGACATAAAATACCATCCCTTAATGTTTATTTCATTCCATTTCATATACAATAAATTGTATTTTTTATCAAAGCGCAGCATTTTTTTTTTATTCTGAAAATTTTATTTTACATTGCCGAAATTCTCATTATGTACAATTGGCTATATAACATTCCGATTAATGATCTTCATTACAATTTGTGCAAACACGATATAAATACATGTATTGTTTTTCTTCTTTAATTAAATAAAACAACAATAAATAAACAAAAAACTTTTTTCAATGTAAAATCGATGTTGTTCTCAGACCCTTACTGATCAAAGAGGAACAACTCTGAAAACGTAGGAGATGTTTATTTTCCTCCCTTTATTCACGGTTTTTCACAGAATCAGATACACCTACATCAAGACCTGATAAATCCGAGAATTGAATACTATAGACCTCATATACACAACGTAAGTAAAGAAATGAGAGGAATTGTTCACTTGTACTGAAATTATCTGCATTTATGAATATCCTATTGCAGCAAATCGTAACTTTGACTTTCTGTCAACAATGTCGGTTCGCATTTCCTCGAATCAAAACAAAACGTAGCCTATAAGATTTTAAAAAATATCGATGTGCGATTTGATATAGGCCTAAATTGAAATAGATGAAGAGTTTAATGTTTGATATTTTGAAGTTAATGTGGACGAATACGGAATTTTCATTTTAACTTTAAAAGCGACGACATTGAAAAAAATGCGTACAATATCATGAGGGGTGTCTGTACATCTAATGCAAATGTCGATGTATCCCCACGGCCACATACTGTCTCGTTTGAAATAATGACATGAAAGAAACTACAATTATTCCATTTATATCACAGGAGAGTTGAACATACACCATTTTTAAATGAATAAAATTAAAGAAATAAAATTGAAAAACAAAATATTCAAGTTCAACAAAACTTGAATTCGTATCCTGGTTTCATGTGATATGGAATGCATAACGCATACGCTAAAATCCTTCAGTAATTTTTTCCTGATACATATAAAAAGAGTAGTCAATATTTATTCTGCATTCATGAATTTAAAAACTAATGCATACCTCTGGGATTCTTGACGGTCACGAAATACCAGTATATTTGCACTGTAAAAAATTTTGAATTTGAAAAATACGCAATTTTCAAGGCTTAGAAAATTCATAGTTTTTCAGTTTAAGGTCTTTAAAAATTGTTTTGATGATATGTATATCAATAAGATGACTATGTTTTTGTGTTAAATGGTTAAAGGAATAAGCCAATGAAATTTGACATTTACATCTAACCTGGTTTTTTTGAAAATCAAGGTTTAAGTAGTTCATTGATTAAAAATTTTCTCTCCTTGTAAACAACAAAAGGGGGGTAACTTTCGGAAGTTTCTGTCCAAAAACCACTCGAACGATTTTGTCCAAAATATACATACATGCAGTAGATATAGTAATTGACTAAATATACAAAAATAACGAAAATTAAACGACGGGAATTTTTTGGGGTAGGTGTGTTGTACATCCTTAAAAATATTTAGAAATTGCAAACCTTCCATGATCTTATAAAGTATACCTTTCTGCAACCTTTCTTATTAATCTATACATTGCAACTTTATTTCACTTCAAATTCAATAATTGTTAAACATCAAATAAAAATAAAAAAAAACTAATTAAAACTAAACTGAAATTGTGAATTTCAATTTTTTTAAACAAAGGGTTGTGTGTATCGTCTGTCCTTCATATAAAAAGTACTAATTAAATTGCGTGTGATGAAACTGTGACAGGCTTTAGCCGTTACTAATAATCACATTTCTATTTGTTTAAATGATCGTACCTTTAAAACAGCAATTGTACAAGATGAGTTAGAGGAGAGAGCAATTCTATTCACAAGAAGAAGAGAGCAACATTTCAACAAGATAGCATTTGGCTGATCATTAATTTCCAGTGTTTTTGTTAAAAAGATAAATCAAACATATCAAAACGAACCCCCAATAACTCTGCTTAATATATATACTAACCGTTTTATGTCACATATAACTGTTAATATAAAATTCGCTCTAATGAATAAAGTTTCCCAGTTTGCAAAGTCATGAATGTCCCCGTATAACCAACAAACTAAACGACGATTTAAAATAAATATTATATACCTCACAAATTCATGCATATATTTCTTCCGGGCTTGATAATTATAGATCTGTGTTTATTCTTTCTTACATTGAACATTCCAGTATCCTGAGAATGCTCCAATATTGAGTGTATGTTTGGGAATTCTTTTATTATAAAGTGTTAATGCATCTTTAATGTTTACATAGTTAAAGGCTTAATCATTTAATCTGCATCAATATGCATCCGTTAATCCCCGTTATTCTTGTGCTTGCAAGACAAGCAAGTGTTTTCGAGTATAATGCTACTTAATTTTTAGAAAGACGGCTACGTATCAACAGTCTAAACAAATATTTTTATTGATGGGTATGGATTTGCAAAAACAAGAAATTAATACATTTTACCCCTTGACAACTTTGTGGATAAATTTAACTTAAATGAATGAACTCATTTTTAAATCCCCCAATAAACTTTATATTCTGTGAGATGCTACTTCAAAGCTCGATAACTTGATCTGACACTACGGAAGAATATGTTTGTAAACTTTCTAGTGATTGTGAAGTATGATTGTATGGTTGTAATGTATTAAATATAAGGAATTAACGGATATTTTGATACCAAGAGAGAACTTCAGAAAGAGTTATGGCATCGTAAATTATGATGTATTTACAGGCTGACTACGATACAGAGTAAACATTGAAGGAATGTCAACAATAGTTTGTACTCTTTGACCTGTTCACCATGTACTTTTAGGTATATCTTGAATCTTTTATACCTGAAATCTTCTTGAAATTACAACTGGGACGATACCGATAAAGAAAACTGCACGTGTTACAAAAGATTAAATCACTTGACTGAATTTTATCAGGGTTTGTAAACCTTGAAGAATTTTGTCTATAAATTGTTGAATGTATACATGTACTTCAGAAGGTCTCAGCTTTCTGAAGAACTGACATATTTTTAGTGCAGGTAGTTATTAATAGAGGTGCTTGCTGAATACACAAATGGTCACAACCCCTGCAGACAAAAATCTTTTTTTTCTACAGAAAGAGGATAATTTATTAGCTGAGGAAAAATATTTAATTTGTCATATTTGAACCTTGCAGCAAAGTTGCAAACGACTGCCAATAAATACTGGTTCAAGTGTCCCCAAAACAGCTGAAGAGATATATCTGCATATAAAATTACTTAAAAAAATAATAAACAAAAGAACACCTGTTTGATCTTTGATACTGCTTCAAATGATATATCCGTGTCTCATACTATTAATTACATGGAATTGTCCATACACAATTAATTTATAATGAAGAAAAATTGTTAAAATTTTAAGTGCGAAATTATATTCAAGTTTATATTGGAACCGAACATGTATACAATACACATTTGAAGCTAGGAGGGAGGGGTTTTCCCCAAAGGAAATTTATAAATAAACCGAGATTATTGTTTTTGCAGATTACTTTAAATAATCTTATATGTTTAAATTATCGACGTCATTACAAGGTATTATAAATACCAAAATCATCCAACACTGCACATATCGTTCTGAAATCCATTGAGAAAAATGAAATCTACTTTTTATCTGTTACTCTTGTCCCTTGTGTTTATTTCACAAGAATCCTCTGGCCACGGTAAGTATATAATTATGTCAAATTGCAGCATCTCATGAATGTTTAAGTGAATAATATATATCAGTATACTGTTGTAATATAAAATTATTGGATACTTAGCTAAATCACTATTTTTGTTTTATCAGTATTAAGTATGTTTATTGTCGAACATAACTTACCTGCGCGTTTGTAGATTAATACATCACATTTACAAAAATATTTTACAAACCAGGTCTGCTTTAATAACTTAAATAAATAAATGTTTTAATTACAGTTATCAACCTTACACGTTGTGTGTATACAAAGAATGAAGAGGTTTTGGAAAAGAAGTTCGTTAATTCTACGCATATTTGTTGTCCTAAGTCAGGAGTGCACGATAAATATCACTTGGGCGTAAAGAAGGAATGCTGTGGAGGCAAGAATTATAACATCTGCCTTTATTAATTAAAAAAAAATCATATATAATCTTTCATACTAAAGGTATCATTTCTAGTCCAAAATAGGAGTTACCGCTTTAACTTAGCAGTGTTTTGTTAAATTTCATTTAAATTCTTTTTTTATTCTTATGCTGGAGCTGTCGCAGAAAAAAGAAATCGCAATCATTCCAAGCGGATTGTTTGATTTTTTTCTCTCTTTTTTTTGAGGTATTGAAGAAAGTCTGTTCGAATAAAGTTGCTGATTTTCAAATATGTTAGTGCGATATAGAAATGAAAACTTGTAGTAATGCTATAGTCTAGTAAGCGCGATTTTGCTATTTCTTATCATTTTTATTGTAGAGGTAACATTTTATCCAGAAATTGAGCTTTGCTGTGACGAAGAAGTCAGTGAACTATCAAAGCACCGAGGAATATGTGTTGGAAATATTAAAAACGACCGAAATTGTAAGCAAATTAATTTTTTCAAAATCTTTCAAGTAGAAAATAAAGATATATCTAAACTCTTTTGCTTACTTCTCGCGGGCGCGAAAGTGTTTATTTTTCTGTTTTAAAAAAAGACATTGATAGAAAATTGTTTAATTTTAATTTACATAATATTGTATTTTTAAATAATTTTAAAATGCATATTTGCAATGGTAAGAACAGTTGTATTATTGTAGTAGGAACTGAAAGCACAAACGGTAAAAAGTATTCTAATCGTTCATTTCAGCGAGCATAACCTGGTGTGGAGAAAAGGGAACGTCACGACCTTTTAAATGTTGTAACGGGAAAACTTTTTACAACGCAACATTATTCAAATGCTTGAATAACACAGTAGTTCCGATTGAATACGATATCTGTAACGGTGAATTCTATGATAAAAGAAGGCGAATCTGTTGTGGCCGGTCAACGCTCTATGGTGAATCTTCCTATCAGTCCAATTTCAAATGTTGCGGCTCCTCTTTAATTGACAGACGGGTAAAGCAATGCTGTATTTGGTCTGGATCCGCCTACGTTCAACCGAAAACAGGACACTGCTGTGGAGGACGTAAGTAAACTTAAATGGTTGTCATACTTTGCAAAAAAATACATAGATTAGATCAGAGGATGATCACTCCTTCATGACACCTGAACCCACCTATGATGTTTTGGAGGTATATGTTTGCTCTGCTCCTATTTTGTATTGTTATATGAACTTTTGAGCTTGAATACTGTTCATTATCTCCATATATATATTTTTTCACTAAACGATTTGACCATGGTTGTCTATTCAAAGTAGTTAAAGTCTCATTCACTTTATAAATAGTTATATTCTGCATGAAAATGTTTCAGAACTTTATCAGCAAAAATCAGAAATCTGCTGCAAAGGCAATCGAATTGCTGCTGATGAAAATATAAGATGTTGCGGCGATGGATTTTACAACTCTACCTTTCAACTTTGCTGTCATTCTGAAAAATCTGCCACTCCATTCGATAAGAAGAGTGAAAAATGTTGTCAAGGTTTGTAACTGTAGACAGATATTTCCCCTCATATTTTCTTATTTTAGAAATATTCGATGTGTTTTTGTTTTCATACACATGTTTTCTAGGTTTTGTGTTTCCCGTGAAGAATCTACCAAAACCGAAATGTTGCGGAAATCAAGTTTATTCGTCACGACAACAAGTTTGCCGCGGTGGTATTATAAAGAGAAAGAAGAAAAGGTAAGAATTCTTGGTAACGTAAAAGATAAACTTGAAATATGTAAAGAATTTTGAATTTTCCCATTGGCGAAAAGCACTAGAATTCATTCACCAGAAATCTTTTTACCCAAGCTTGATGTTTGATAAATTTTCCTAGTTGTGATCATGACCTGCAAGAACGTTTTTTTATTAACCATATTATAATGATGATAAATGATAAATACATGATAATAATATACACATTTAATTACAAATATTGGTGAGTATTAAAAACATAAAAGCATTTTTTGTAGTTGCACTGGAGAGAAATTGTCTGAAAATTCCATTACGAAGGAGAGTATCTTACCTTCTGTCCAGAACCTCTTTCCTGGCATTAGTGCAAAACTCCAGAAATGGAAGGGAAAGAAAGGCGCCCCAGTGATTTATGTTAACATTCCTGAAGCCAACATTTACATAGGAAAAGTCCCAAATCAATCTTCTCCGAAGGATGAACGTGTTTAGATAAATATCAGAGAGAGAGAGAGAGAGAGAGAGAGAGAGAGAGAGAGAGAGAGAGAGAGAGAGAGAGAGAGATTGTAAATTTAGATGTAAAATGTATATCCTCTGAATAATTTACAGATGTAGTTTTTTTTCTTTTTCATGAATTAAATCAGTTGTTGTAAGATCTCTTTGATTTTTACATTAGTTCAATTTTAAGGTTTCCATCGTCAATTTGCGAGTCCCAAGGTGAATAAACAATTCTTGAATGAAGGTAAAGTTAAGGAACAGTCAATTACCCTGAAAATTAACACTGTATATAATATATTTAGCGAAAAACTGAAACCTGACATATAGAATTAAAAAAAAAAAGGTTAAAATGTTTTTCGTGCCTAAAAATAATCAAAGAAATGACAACGAATATAACATCCATAAATATGTGGAACTTAACCTAATAGAATAAAATAGTTAAGTTCATTTAATCGTAACTGCCATAAAAGATGAGCAGTAAAATTCACAATCATTATTACTTTCTACGAAGGAAACAATTTTTCCCGAACATAATAGGTGCACTTGCGGTTCGGGTTGTGGCTGGCCGGCAGGGGATGCTCCCTCCTCCATAGCAAGTAATCCCACCTGATGTTTTAGAGGTCCGTGTTTGCTCTGCTCCTAAATTTTAATGTTAAATAGATTTTTGAGCTCGAGTACTTTTTGTTATAACCACATATTTCAAATATTTATCTTTACTATATAGAGAATATTCAACTGCCATAAAATTTAGTTAGTTGAATATGGAAAACATTTCACAAGTCTGACACGAATTTGAACAGAAGTGAAAATATGTATTTCTGTCTCACAAATGTAATATATTTCATACTCCATCACTAAAACATTGAATTTTCTGTTTCTTGAAGTTCCATATGCCTTTATTTTTCCTAACACATTGTTATAGGCTGTGTCGTCATAGTTTAGTGGTGGAAACATCATGGCCTATTGATGATGATATTAAAAACTTCATAAACAAATATTTTAACCACATATTTAGAGAAATTGAGTAGAAATCTCTGTTTGGAAGATTTATTTACTTTCGCTAAATATAAATGACAGTCAATGAATTATACATTTTTATGACATTTTACTAAAGGGGAAGAAAATTGATTTGTGACACTTTTGGTATGTTTTCAACCTGAAAAACAAGATGTGTTTGTGAAACACTATGCGCCCGGCGGCAACAAAGTTCAAAAAAAAATTTTAGCTTATAGGCCACAGTCAAGGTCACAAGGTTATTGATCTTGGTGTCATTTGAAAGAACTTGATTGGTGAAGTTCGCATACCAAATATGAAGTTTTTATCTCTCATTGTTCAAAAGTTATGGTGAAGGTTCAAAAAAACTATTTTTAGCATATAGGACACAGTCAAGGTCAAAAGGTCATAGACCTTGGTGTCATGTGAAAGGGCTTAATTAGTGGAGTATGCATGCCAAATATTAAGTCTCTATCTTTCTTCGTTGAAAAGTTATGGCGAAGGTTAAAGTTTGGCGAAAAAAGCTATATTTAGCGTATAGGTCACAGTCAATGTCACAAGGTCATTGACCATGGTGTCATTTTATATAGCTTAATCAGTGGTGTATGCATACCAAATATGAAGTCTCTATCTTTTATGGTTCAAAAGTTATGGCGAAGGTGAAAGTTAGCAAGAAAAACTATTTTAGCATATAGGAAAATGTATCAATGCATTTGAAATTTTAAGCTGTATGATAAACAATATGTTTTATACCATTTGTTAGGTGATAGCTTTGAAGATACTAAATTTGGCTTCGGATTACTCCTTCTACAGCATAATAGGGGTTCGGAGCTATTGTAACCAAATGGTTTCTACTTCTTGGTACCAAATGGTTTCTACTTCTTGATACCCTTTTCCATCAATAACGTGTCAATTTTCATATCAAGGATAATTTTAATGTTAAATTTAGAAAAGTGGAATTAAAAAAAGGAATTGCATTCTATGAATTAATTCAGACAAACCTTAAGGTGCAAACAGATTTATGAATAACTGTGTTTGTAGGAGGGTTGATCCAAAAGTAATGTCACTGTGCCAATATCTTTAATATTTGGCATCATATTATCAAATATAATATACCAAAAGATGCATTAAAAAAATCTAATCAAAATTGATAATTTCATTTAAAAATGTTTACTTGAATTAATTCTATAGACATTTATAATATTAAACATAAGGGGTGTCGCCGCGTCTCAACTAAACGTCACGTTTTAAATTGTAAATTGTTAGAATGAAAAAATACAAACACATTAAAAAGCATCTAAAACAACATCTAATCTTCCAATATTTTAAAAGACAAAATTTCACGATATTTTCTAATCTTAAGTTAAATATAAAATGACGTCATTGCTTTTTGATCATAAACATAGGTGTTTTGATCTGCTGGATTGAACAAAAGAAATGTCGAAATGGAGAAAAACCGCTGAAACGATCTGTAATGCGTTTTTGCTACAAAATGGGGAAATCGCCCGTCGAAACAGTTACGATGATAATCAGACCCACAGAGGATAAAATATGAATAAGAGACCTGTTTATAGATGGTTTTAGCGGGTCATGGGTCACTGAATGATCAGCAGAAGACAGAAAGACCGAGAAAGGGAGGTCGGGCGGAAACGTTCTTGAAAAGGTGTCTGACGTTGTCCAAAAAAAGAGACGGTTAGATGGTAAGAGCGATATGAGAAACTTTAAGTTTTTCTTCTGGTACTGTTCTTGAAGTTTCTCTTCTGGTACTGTTCAAAGAATTTTGACAGATAACTAAATTATGTACAGACTGAGTTTACAATGGTGCCAACAATACTTTTTAAAAGAGAAATATATGTGAATGTGTTCGTGAGTCTCAAATATTTTTAATGAAACGAAAGGGGAAGCGTTTAAGTGTATGACGACGCGTATCCATCATAATTATGACGTTATTTTGGTGCGGCGACTACCATAATTGTACTTCGTATATAATTCGATAATTTGAAAAGTATACATCATTTTAATTTGAATTTTTTTGTAATATATATAGCTTCGATCATGTATAATTTCGTTAATTTACGTTGATTAGTAGCAGTTTTATCGAAGTTGTGACATTACTTTTGGATCAACCCTCGTAAATGCATACAATATTAAACTAAATTTATTGTAGACAGGTAACTTTATTAAACACTGTAAAAAAAGGAACGGGATAAGGTGTCTTTTTTATAATTAAAAGCCAAATTTCAATTCAATAGGGTTGATAATGTGTTGATTGCAAATGATACTAACGCTTAGAAGTTAACCTCCTGCATGGTATTTGTTCCGGGTATATAAGACCTTGAGCGTAATAAGATCATTGGGTTATTGGGTCTATTGTGACATTTAAATCACATGAATTGTAAACCATAAGAGACGGACAACGTTTGAGTGCGGAATGTTCGTAAAGTACATGACTAAACAGGGGGCTCAAGGTCCCTTGCATAGAACTTTTAGTCGCTCATCTAATTGAGATGGCCATCATTAGAAGTTTAAGAAATGAAACCATAACAAATAAAAGACATATCTGTATTCCAATAATCTTTAATATTTTAATTAGAATAGAATTTTTTAAAATAGAAAATGTATCTCAAAATAAAATACAAAATGACATCCAAGATGAATATCGAATACCTGATACTACTTTATATCAGTATCACAGATTCTTGACGTTTTTAACCTTTCGTTTCTAAAATTAAAAATTCACCATACTATTATAGACGGTTATTATCATTACAGTATGGGGAAATTCTTTTATTTTGAAAGAAAGGATAAAAACGCCAAGCGTCTGTGGTCAGTGTCGCTATAAACCCTTTTAATTAGATAGTCAGGTGCCCGCCAATGGGCTATTTATATGACATTTGTCTTTTTAAATAAACAAAACATCGAAGGTATTGTTTGTGGGGTACCAATTTTCGTGGATTTTGTGGGTCACCATTATTAACGAATTTGCATCCCCAAAAACAATAACTTTGTCAAAAACTTTGTTCATTAAGTCTTCTGAATATACGTGCTACCCACGAAATTGCATCCCCACAAACTAACACAATTTTGCTTACCCTCAAGAATTAAAAATGATTTCGCAGTAGTGGAGAAAATTTTAAAGTTTTCTTTGGTTATAAATAATTTTGTTTTTTAATAAGCGAAAGCCCATATATCCCATTTCGATACCTTATGCAAGAATTTATATATACAAGTGATAAGAATTATTGTCCTGTTTGAAAAGTAAAAAATATTTAAAAATAGACTTTATCTAATCTAACTGACATATAAACTTTCTGGA